TTTGCCCTCTTGAAATGTGATCGTATCGTACGGAATGTGTTTTTGGCCGATATCTACCAGTCCCTCTATATAACTGCCACGGTTTTCTTTGAACAAAGCTACGGAGGTTCGTGAGCAGTGGGAGGGGCGGAAAAGAAGGAAAAAAATGCCAACTTTCAGTACTTATTTTGAGCGTAAACTGCCTCGATTGTGTCATCCTACCTTGTGTAGGACACAGCCTATTGCAGTTATCCCGAAACGGCAATTCCCACACTGGAAGCAGCTTCACGTTGGAAATATGTTTTAAAGGTATGCTTCCCCTTGAAACCTTCATAACTTCGTAGCTTCGTTACCGGAAGTCCGAGCAGATACCGGGGGCGGATTCCAGTCGGCTCAAATCTCATTTCAAATGGCCCTTTCTATCTACCATCCTTTCCTGGTGAGTACTTGAAGTGGGAGCCGTGTCCTTATCTATCACTTCTTTTTCAGCGGGACTTTGTAGATCGAATTCCTATTCTAGCATAGACACAAAACTTCTCTTTCCCAGACAATTTAATACCAACACCGTTTTCCGTTACTTAATTGTTTTCAAACTTATATACTTGTGATATATGAGCTTGTCAGCTCAAATTTTGACGGAGTTCGTTTGCTCCGTCATCAGCTCTAATAACGAGGTTTTCCCCCAGAGTTCGTAGAGATTATAAGCTTGTTTCTTCTCTTTCAAATTCTAGTTCCTATCGCTTGTATTTCACGTTGCCTTGTTCATAGTGAGAAAGTATGAGGCCATATAGCGTTGCGTTTTCATCTTTCTCCAGGGCGTATGTGTAGCTGGGTTATAGTCATTGTAATACGATGGTGGTAAATTGTACCAAAACAGCATAGTAAGATAATAAGAATGATTTTCTTTGTTGTTTTTGGTGAATGAAATAAAATGTAATTTTCTGATTCTTTTTGTTGTGTTTGTTTTGCCCACCCTATCAGTTTAGTGCTGTAGTACTTTTAGCGTTTGGAATGTCTCTGTTATCAAGCCCGAAGTTAAGATTTCCAAAATGTAGTTTGACTCTCGTCGTTCGCAGAGTGCAATGCCCTAAAACGTCTCCACCACAGCAATTGCACATTACGTCGTTTCGTGAAAGCCGTTGGTTAGTCCGACTGCCATGGTGATCCGTCCGGCGCTAGCGCTCTGATTCATACGGCTGTGAAAACGGAACACTGTGGGTGTTACGAAATTCGACAGCTACCGATTTTCATTCTAAACTAGCTCACCATATGAAACTTCTATCTCTTCCGTTGTCTATGAGTGCAAAAAGCGTCACAAAGACTTTCCCATTCCCACTTGTTTTATGGGTTCCCTAGAAAACTCCCGAAAAAGCCAATAATAACGTCATTTGGAAGCCGTTAATGGTGTGACATGCATTTTGAAATGAGTGAGGATGGGACACATACAGTATCCTAAACTCCTTGAATCTGTTAATCGGATACCTACCGGTTGGACCACTGGTGTCCTAGCAGTTAAGGTCCCTCATTTGAACGTTCTTTTCCTCAATAACTATAAATGTCTTCCTCCTTATCTTGTCGTGCCGATAGAGTTTCCACAATTGTTATGCGGTTTCCGCTCAACCCCATTGTTCTAGGACCAGTGGAATGACAGCAGCAGTACTCTATCGGCCGTGGAATATTTTTGAACGCCTTTTCCTTTACGGATTGTTTGGCTTTGCTGCAGAGGTGACTCATTTCTCCTTTTCTGAACTTGTTGTTGAATCGCTCTACAATCGTGTTCTTTCTTCAAGCCTTCAAAGACCGTTGACACGATAATTTGGTACTCGGCCTAAAATGCTAGCAGGGCGCTATATAGTGGGAAAATGGCGAAAGAACGGAGTGAAACGGTCAAAATCCTGCGAAGAAAAAGCCTTCGTTCTCAATGACTTAAAAATCGATTTCGGACGAGTTTCCCGTAGGCATCTTGCCAATAACCGCTACCGAAGATACGGCTGCATATGTGTACTCATATATCCATGCAGCATCACGGCCGCTTCATACCAATCCCTTCGCTTCATAATTTGCTTAGCAAATGAATCAATACGAGCGTCAGGAACGGTCGTCCATTTGTGGGCGGGCGGGCGGCGTTCGGGTCGGTATGTTGTAGCTTGATAGGGCCCTTATAAGGGCACCTTCCTTGGAAAAAGCGCTACGCAGCGCCTGCTCAGGGGCGCGGAATTCCGTCCTGCCATATGTATTAC